AGGGCGAAGGAAAGGGCAGGAAGGGGGTTATGGGTGAAACAAGCCTGGCTGTAAGTTTAGTTGAGGTCTAATGGTGGGCACACAGGGGTTTATTTGGGTTCATAGCACTATCGTCTCTACTTTTGTGTATCCTGAACATTTCTCTAAAAAAGAGGTTTTTGAAAAACTGAAGAAGAAACATAGCTTGTAGGTCATCTGCCTTGCTGGAAAACTATTCAGGTCTAACAAAAAATACGAATTTACTTCTAAAATTCTAATGCAACAACAGCAAATGAAAGGAACGGTTAATGGATTTTAAAAAACTGGGGAGTGTGGCGGGGGCTGAGTTCTCCCTGGATGGACTGACTTCACCCCTTGCTGAGACTCAGCTCACCAGCCCAGACAGGCCACAGCCGCGCACGCTCCTCTGTTGAGGAGCTCTGGCCCGTGTGACCTTGAGGACCTGTTCCAGTGCTTTTTCCCGGAAGAATCCTTCCTTCCGCAACACAACTGCTTGCCTCTGGAGACAGGCTGGTTTTTCTTTTCTTTTCTTTTTTTAATTTTTTAAGTGTTTATTTTTGAGAGAGACAGAGACAGAGTGCAAGCAGGGGAAGGGCAAAGAGGGAGACACAGAATCCAAAGCAGGCTCCAGGCTCTGAGCTGTCAGCACAGAGCCCTACGCAGGGCTCGAACCCATGAATCGTGAGATCATGACCTGAGCCAAGTTGGACACCCAATGGACTGAACCAGCCATGCGCCCCCAGGCTAGTTTCTCTTTGCTGCTGCCTCACCCATCACACTGTGCGGGCTAGTTTATGGAGAGTCCCATCTATTCCTACGGAACATTATCTTTTTTTTTTTTTTTTTAATGTTTTTTATTTATTTCTAGGAGAGAGGGAGAGAGAGACAGCGTGAGCAGGGGAGGGTCAGAGAGAGAGGGAGCCTACAGAACATTATCTTATTTATCCGAGCCACAGACGGCAGGCTGATCCCTCACTCGTGTTAACAGATCTTCAAGTATTTGAAAAAAGAATAAACAAAACATTTAATAAATGGTTATGACATGTTAGGCACTCAACTGCCTGCTAAGTCCTCAGGAACCCACGTTTCATTGTAAAATTGTAAGCCCCGATTTGCTGTTGAAGAATCTAGAACTGAGGTTAGGGAGCTGCTCCAGGTCACAGGCAGGCAGCGGCAGGGCCGGGCGCCATCTCTCTGCCCACACGGAGCGTGGAGCCCTCTCTGTTCCTTCAGCCAATCTCCCCGGCTTGTGTGTGGAAGGTGTCCTGATCCAGTGTCCCTTCCCGATGGCCCCTGGCACAGCACTCCCAGGGCCGGGGGCCTGGACCACCCCCACCCAGCGCTTCTACTAGCTCTGACATGATCCTGGACCCTGGGGCCGCCAGGGCCAGGCTCTCCTACTGCCTGGCGCTGTGCCTTGCCCGAATTACTTAACCTCTCCGCGCCACAGGGTGCCTTTCCACCCGAATCTGCTAAGCGTCTGGCTGGTTGCTGTGGAGATCACAGGGGCCACGTCTGTGTGAGACAGCAGCACTGTGTTGGCACATGTTCAGTGCCCTCGCTGGCATTTCTGGTCTTGTTTTTGGCATACTGCCTGTTAGATGGCACTCCCAGTCTGTCTCTGCCTGGGGTCCTGAGGTCAAGCCATGCCTCCCCATCTTCAACTTGTATGGATGGATTTTTATACCCAAGTACAGGGCCTTACAACCCTTCCCCACTGTTTTCATTTTTGAAAATAAAAAACTTTTCAAAATGTTTTTTAGGTTCTGACCGTTAAAAAAATTTTTTTTAACGTTTATTCATTTCTGAGAGACAGAGACAGACAGAACATAAACAGGGGAGGGGCAGAGAGAGAGGGAGACACAGAATCGGAAGCAGGCTCCAGGCTCTGCGCTGTCAGCACAGAGCCCGACACGGGGCTCAAACCCATGAACCGTGAGATCATGACCTGAGCTGAAGTCGGCCACTTAACCGACTGAGTCACCCAGGCACCTCTCTGCCCATTTTTTAAAAGAGAATTGGCTTTCCCTTTTCTTTTTTTTCTTTTTCTTTTCTTTTCTTTTTTTTTTTTTTGAGAGAGAGAGAAGTGTAAACAAGGGAGGGGCAGAGGGAAGAGAGAATCCTGAGCCGGCTCCATTCTCAGCACAGAGCTGGACTAGGGCCCTGATCTCATGACTGTGAGATCATGACCTGAGCCAAAATCAACGGTCAAGGGTCGAATGCCTAACCAACTGAGTCCCCCAGGCGCCCCAGATTCTGCCCATTTCCACTTTTTGGATCCAATCCTGTCTACCACATTCGCTCTTCTCCATGTGCCTGAGTTATCTGTAAATCTGGACCTTCACTTTTATCTTCAAGCCACTGACCAAACTGCTGAACAGGAGAGTCTGTAACGTGGTGTGTTTAGTCGTGGGAGTGACTGCGGGGAAGCAGCGGGTGTAGGGCACTCGGGCCGGACACAGCAGGTGCACCCCTACACACGGCCAGAAGTAGCATATGCCGAAACTGCCTTGCTAGAGGACCATCTAACAGTATATGCAAATACACATAAACGCTGTTGACTCTGAGATTTTGCTCCTGGAAATTTAATCCAAAGTGGTCATGAAAGAGAAAAAAATTCTATGTGAAGATATTTAGAACATCATTATTTAAAATGCTGAAAAAAACTCTGGGGCACCTGGGTGGCTGGGTCAGTTGAGCATCTGACTTTGATTCAGGTCACGATCTCACGGTTCGTGAGTTTGAGCCCCGTGTCTGATTTGCTACTGTCAGTGCAGAGCATGCTTCGGATCCTCTGTCCCCGTCTTTCTCTCTGTCCTTCCTCTGCTCTCTCTCAAAAATAATGTACATTAAAAAATTGTTTTAAAAAATGCTGAAAAACTCTCAATCTGCTAAATGGACTACAGGGAGGAATAGTTAAATAAAGAGCGTAACAGCAACATGGCTCTTACAGAGATCAAACGTAATCACTGTGTGCTTTTTTTTTTAATATATTTTTAAAATTTATTTCTAGGAGAGAAAGAGAGACAGCGTGAGCAGGGGAGGGTCACAGAGAGAGGGAGACACAGACTCTGAAATTGGCTCCAGGCTCTGAGCTGGCAGTCAGCACAGAGCCTGACGCTGGGCTCGAACCCACGAACCGCGCGAGATCATGACCTAAGCGAAAGTCGGACGCTTAACCGACTAAGCCACCCAGGCGCCCCAATGACTGTGTGCTTTTGTTAGGGAATGCAAAATTGTTTACTATTAAAAAATGTTTTTAATGTTTTATTTATTTCTGAGAGAGAGAGAGAGAGAGACAGAGCATGAGCAGGGCAGGGTCAGAGAGAGAGGGAGACACAGAATCCAAAGCAGGCTCCAGGCTCTGAGTTGTCAGCACAGAGCCCGACGCAGGGCTAGAACCCATAAACCATGAGATCATGACCTGAGCCGAAGTCGGACGCTTAACCAACTGAGCCACCCAGGTGCCCCAATGGAAGATTATTTAAATTAGGTCACTCTAGACAATACACGCCTTGACTACATAAAGTACACAGATATGGCACCTGGGTGGCTCAGTTGCTTAAGTGTTCGACTTCAGTTCAGCTCATGATCTCATGGTTTGTGGGTTTGAGCCCGGGGCTCTGTGCTGGTAGCTCGGAGCCTGGAGCCTGCTTCAGATTCTATGTCTCCCTCTCTCTCTGCCCTCCCCCACTCACGTTCTGTGTCTCTCTTAAAACTATGTACACAGAGAAAAGAAAGGGAAGATGAAAAATAGAAAATTATAGTTATGGTGAGATTATTTATTCATTTATTATGTTTTTTAATGTTTTTTTTTTTTTTCATGAGAGAGAGAGTGCAAGCGAGGGAGGGGCAGAGAAAGAGGGGGACAGAGGAGCTGAGGCAGGTTCTGTGCAGATAGCAGCAAGCCCAATGTGGGGCTCAAACTCATCAACTGTGAGATCATGACCTGAGCCAAAGTCAGACGGTTAACCCACTGAGCCCCCCAGGCACCCCTACTTATTTATTTTCTAAGTAGGTACCATGCCCAGTACACAGGCCAAAGCACAGCTTGAACTCATGATGCTGAGATCAAGACCTAAGCCAAGATCAAGAGTCAGACACTTAAGTCCCCAGGGGCCCAGTTGTGGTGAGGTTATAGATGCAATTTTCAATTGTTTTCCATTAAAATGCATAATAATTTATTTGGTTATAAATAACCCCAATGTTTGCACATACTCAAACACATACTTTATGTGTTTTTTTTTAAAATTAAAACATTTTTTCTTTATTTATTTTGAGAGAGACAGAGACAGTGCAAGTGGGGGAGGGGTAGAGAATTCTAAGCAGGCTCCATGCTGTCAGCACAGAGCCCAATGCAGGGCTTGAACCCATGAAACCGTGCGTGGGATGCTTAACCGACTGAGACACCCAGGCGGCCCCATGCTTAACCCACTATTCATGGGATCCCAAGTTCCTTGAAGGTAGGCACTGGATCTCACACTCAGACAGATGCTTCTGGCCTTTGGTTGAAGCCTTGCCTTAGCTAAGGTTCTGTCTTCCAGACTGCCCTCATTCTTGATTCTTATGTGAGTCTCCCTTCATATTGTAGATGTACACATAAATAATAAATGCAGCCCTGGCGCGCCAGTCACCGGAGTCCCGAGCAATGAACATGAGGACGGCACAGTGGACAAGGGCACCGGCTGTCTAGCTCCTGACTTGCTCTGACACCAACCAGCAGGGGACCTGGGGCAAACCTTCCCCGGTGAGTTTCGCTCTGTCTCTAGGAGGCAGGATGAGGTGGGGGTGGCTACGGTGCCTATCTGAAAGGCTGATGTGACACATGGCATCACGAATACCCAGTCCAAGCTGGCTGCTTTATAACCACGGGCCCCACTGCGGTTCGCAGATGGGCATAAAGCCTGAACTTAGAAAGGTAAAGCAGAACACAAGTTAACGGCACACTCATAGCAAGAACAACAGTGAGGGGGACTCCACTTGGCCGTGCCCGTACTTACCGTAGGTGAACATGCGTGGTGAGGTCAGCTCAATGTTGGGCAAGGCGCCCAGGTGGTTGAGCACAGCGCACCGGTAACCATTTTTCTGGGCGTAGTCGACGAAGGTGCGGATGTACTGCTTCTCGCTGTGATTGGCAATTCCAGGACAGATGACCATGGTAATGTCATCTACGGGGCGAAGAAAGAGATCCCGGCATATCCAGTGAACAGTGAGGATAAACGGCCACCATTAAACATGCCCGGCTTAGAAAACAGCAGGAGGGAACGTCATGTTGAATTTCACTCAGTTGTCTGGGAAGAGTATCCTACCCTTTGAGCTGGAGTTGTCTATACCAGGGCTTCTCAAACTGTTTATGCTGACAGGGCAGTTTTTAAAATTTCTGATCGTGGACAGATACTTTTGGAAACGAGGATAAAAGTGACCAGAGAGACGAAAAGAAGAAAAATTTAAATCTCAACTTCTTCTTATTAGATTCAACAGATACAAGATTACTCTGCTGTACAAGTTCCCAACCCTCACTCTTAATTTCTATTGGAAAGTCTGTATGAATGACGGAACGAATGAATAGAAAAGTAAAAAGCAGTGTCTGCACAGACTTCTCTGATCAAGCAATTTTACTTCCAGGTATTTCTCCTACAGATGATACATACGCCTGTACATGCACAAAACAAGATCCGGACCGTGTCGGTGGTAATAGCAAAAGACTGAACACAACCAAAATGTCCAGAAACAGGGGTCTGGTTAAATAAATTACTGCGTAGCCAAGTGATGAAATACTACGCAGCCCTTAAAAACAATGAGAGACATCTCTACATATACTATAGGGGAAGCTCTCCGATGTGTCTTAAGTGGAAAAAAAGCAGGGTGGAGAAAATGGTTATGATACACTGCCATTTGCGTGGAGGGGGAAAAAAGACATCTATGTTTATAAAAGCATCTACTAGCTGTGGAGTCCTACGTAAGAAACTTAACAGTGGGTACCACTGGGGAGGGCCCTGGATGGGGTGTAGGGGAAGAAGAGAGACTTAACTTTCTCTGTGTATCTTGAAGTCATCTTTTGGATTGTCTATCGTGAGCATGGATTACCTACTTGAAACTATGAATACATAGTCTTCCTTTATGTTTTTAATTTTTTTTTTTTTTTTTTTTTGGCATAGCTTTCCTTCAAAAGAGAAGTGGCATTTAGGTTATCAAGTCTGATCATAAATGACCCTTCCAAAAGTTAAGATGAAAACAGCTTTTAAATTCTTCTTGAATGTGCATCAAGAAACTTAACAATTTTACAGACCTAGCAGCTCCAATTCTCGGGCGCTTGCCTCAAATTTTATGGTTAAGGATGCTCATCCTAGAATTACTTATAGTAATAATATAAGTAGATGAATAATTAAATGACGGTATGACTATATCGTAGAATACCAAGCAATCGTTCAAATCATGGTTTTGAAGACTTTCAGACTTTGAATGACAGGAGAAAAATATAATAAAATCTATAATCATTCAGACTTTGGAAAAACAATGCATTGAACTGGAAGGAAACACAACGCCAACAGCAGAATTCCGGGTGGTGGGATTCTAGGTGATTCTTACTTCCTTTTTTAAATATTCCTGTATTACCTAAATTTTCCAAAATGAGTTTTATTCCCTTTTGTTACCAGGAAAAAAAAATCATCGAAAGGAAGAAAGAAAAGGGGCCGCTTTTCCCTAGAGCATTTTTTGGCCACGAGTGCGGCACCACCTTCGTCCATCCCCTTCCGAGGACAACAAAGCATCAAGTTTTCCCTTTTCAATTTTCCATGTTGGCCCTGGGAGGAAGAACCGAGTGGTTAAGTTAAATTTTGTGCCTTACTGGTAGGAGTGAGAGCATTAGAAGCAAGAGAAAAAAGCATGTGACTGGGTAGGGTGGAGAAATAAATATTTGGAAGATTAGCTACGAGATGTATAAACACAATGTGGACTCCTAACCCCTTCATTTCGTCATTCCTTCTGTGACTGCTGAGCGGGAGGGAGGCTGCCTCTCAAGGCTCCGGGGGCTCCTACATCCCAGTGGACAGGGCTCGGGGGCTCCTATGTCTCAGCGGACAGGGCTCAGGGGCTTCTGTGTCCCAGAGGATGGGGAGCAGGCAGCTGTCCTAATAAGTGGAGAGGGTGGCAGGTACCGCAAAGAACTAAAGCAGAAGGTGAGGTGATTTACACGGGAAGGAAACACCAGCGAAGGGAGCCGGGGGCCATCCCCCTGAGGAGGGGACATCGGAGGTGAGACCTGAATGACCAGAAGGAGGGGGACGTGGGGAGGGAGGTCTGGGGATGAGTATTCCAGACAAAGGGAACATAAACTAAAGCTTCATCCCCGGCCCGTCAGCAGTTCCGGTTACTGTGAATAACTGGGAACTTTAACACACTTACTGGAATTTGCTCACAAATAGTTACCGAGCTCCTAGAAAACACTGGGTGCCTTGCGCACTACAGAACTCAAAAGACGTGTTCTCTCCCGGAAGGAGCAGCAGAGGAAGCCCCCAGGCTAACACGAATTGTCACTGTGACACTCTTTCTGAAGGGTCCTTACCACGTGGGCTGACCAAGCAATGCCGGATTCTAGCAGCAATGGCAATGGAGTGGCTTCTTACAGACGGGTGTCCCAGACCCCTGCATAAATGGACCTCAACGTGGCTTTTCGTCCACGGAAAGCTAAGCAGAGGGCACCTGAGAGCCTGCGCTATCCCGCTAGTACCCGACAAACAAGACCAGCCCTGTACTGCATCTCTGAGCCTCCGTTCCCTCATCTGTAAAGTAAGGATAACAAGGTACCAACCTTGTCGGGGGTAAGTGAGACGACAGGATATTTAAAGCACTTAGAAGAATCTAGCTTTTATTGCTGTCATCAAACCAGAGGCGTGGTCCGGGGGGGCCTGGGCCCCAGGTTCTCCCTCACCCCCTTGTGCCTGGCCTCTGTATCACACAAGAGGATTCACAAACTATTCAACGATGCTCTCTGACGAGCCCTACGTGGTGACTCGCAAGCGTGAGACGGAGCTAATCCCTGAGGTGGCCCTAAGTGATGCGCCACAGCAGGGTGTGACGGTGATCTACACCGTGCTCCCTCCCGGACCAGTGCTCCTTTGCCGAGTGATGGCCCAGTCACAGACCTACATAAGCTCACCTCCAACGCAGTGCTCGGCCAAGGGCTCAAAGAGGTCGAAGGTCGAAGTGGCTCCATCGGACATGGTGATGAACTTGCGGTGCCCATAGGGGTGTGGCGACCTCACCCTTCCCATCTTCCCATACAAGGCTGTTTGGATGTGTCCACTCTTCCCCCAGATCAATGGTGGGATGTATCTAAGAAAGAAGGAGGGGAGAGGTCAGTTGTCCCACGCTCCCTAGATTGGCTTTAAAAATCACCAGGACGTGCTTCCATAGACAGGACTGCAAATTTACAGTGTTAAGTAATTTGATATGGGTTATTTCTATAATGTAGATTAAAAAGAGAGCAAGTAATACATTTTGAACATATTATACTTGAAAGGGTTAGCCTCCTTCTCAAATGAGCCAATGTACCGATGCACACTGCTAATGTTCACTTCTTTGCCTTCCCGAATAAGAGGGGCCACGGCGACGGCGGTCACGCCACTGACCTAACTTGCTGCTCCCTGTTACACTGGGAAGGGCTGCAAGGTCTCCTAAGAGCCTATAGGTGTCTTCTGCGCATGTTGTAGGTGCACTGGAGAATGTGCTGGAAGGGCAGAGCAGTGTAAATACTGGGTTAAATGAAGGATAAAGGCTTGTAAGCAAGTCACGACGCCAACCCTAACAACAGGCCTTTGCAAACACGGAGTGACTCTGGTCCCCGGGAGTAAATGCAAATATCATAAACTAGTTAATTACCAGGAAAACAAGGTGCTCCTGGTTACAACTAAGAAACGATTACAGTTCACAACCACAGTGCAAGGATGATTCCGTTTCAGCCACTGGTTTCTCTGCCACAGCTTGGGGCCCAGGTCTGGGGCGTGGCTAGGATTTGAGTTCTGTATAGAGTCACAGAACATAAAATATGGTAATCACATCCATCCTTCGCATCTGTATGATCTCACCGTGGGGAGCATTTTATTAAGAGCCTGCCTTAAACTATTACCCAATTCATGCCTGTCTTTTCTATCATACCAGTAGATCCTAAAAGCCCTCCTTAAATTAAACCAGATTTGCTTTTTCTTTTTTGTAACTCATTAAGTCACAAATTTAAGAAAGTGACGCTATCACATGACGCAAGCCAGTTCCCACACAAACTTCGTCTGGGAGGGCAGGGAGGAAAGAGTATTTTAAGACCTGAGGACATGAAGCCATTTGCCAGCATGACACCACCACCTCTGCAAATCTTAGCGCAGAGGCTACGGCATTTGGAAAGCAGACAGAGGCATTTATAAGAGGATTTATAAGAGGATTATGACAGTGACGAAAAGCAAGCTCATAAAAGTAACGTCAGCTGGACAACTCAGTATTACACAAGATTTAGATACGGAATTTATAAAGCGTTTCAGACGACCAAGTTGAACAATAAAGTATGCATGGGGGGAGAGAAGTGATCCAAGAAACCAAATTCTTGGTCGCTCCTGGAGGAAAGTTCAAAGAAAATCTAGTTAACGATATAAATTTAAAATAGAATTGTGAGAGGTTAAACAGGTCAGAAGAAGAATGGGTTAAATTTCACATACCTATCTTCTGATCCTGTCTAGAATACAGTATAATCTCAAAACATGACGAAAGAATAAAATGAAATTTTCTCTTGAGGCACCTGGGTGGCTTATAAGGTCGGTTAAGTGTCCGACTTCGGCTCAGGTTATGATCTCACGGTTCATGGGTTCGAGCCCCGCGTCGGGCTCTATGCTGACGGCTCGGAGCCTGGAGCCTGCTTCAGATTCTGTGTCTTCCCCTCTCTCTGCCCCTCCCTCACTCATGCTCTGTCTCTCTCTGTCTCAAAAATAAATAAACATAAAAAATTTTTTTTTGAAAAAAGAAATAAAATTTTCTCTTGGTGATTCACAGATGGGCCACATAATTATGACATGGGTGGTCATCCTGATGCTGCGCTCCCAGTTCGGAGTCACATCCCCTCTCTGAGGCGGCCTCTAGCCTGTTCTTGTCCCCACTTACTCCAGCATTCACATGTCAGTGGATGAGGGAAAACAACATGTGTAAACCTGGCCACTGCTGTCCCCTGCACGGGCCCTAACTTGGCCCAGGAGGCCCACCGTCCCTGCCTGCTTATGCCTTTCCATGTAGGTTCCGACCAACGCGAGCCACTGGCCCGTCTCCACTCCAAGGAGCCGAGCTCGTGCTGAGCTATTTTTATCCCAAATGCCAAGCTGTTTCTTCTGCCTGGAATACGCTCCTTTTCTCCATCCACACCCATGCTTTCCTCACCAGCTCCTGTGTTTTTCAAGCTCACTTCCAATCAGGTGTCTGGGGGAACTGCCCCCTCTCTGTGCCTCCTGGCGAAGTCCCCTGTGCAGAGCCCCGTCCTGGCATCCAGGAGGCTCGACTGCTATCAGGGCTCTTTTCTGGAACATTCCTCCCCACCACCTGCGGGAGCCAGGCTTAGTCATCTTTGTGCCCGTGCCCAGGGCGCTCCACACACTAAGCAGTTGGAAGGGCTGCTGAATGAACAGAGTACAGACCCACTTAGTAAGTCTGAGAAGACACAGATGTACTTAAAAAATATGCACCATGATAATGGGAGTTGGGTTGTAGCATGATCAGGGCTTGGTTACTGTTGTCTTTCACGACTACCCGGTAGCATTCTCAGACCAGGCTGGGAGAAAATCCTGAAGGTGTGCGTGTGGGCATAAGTGTGTACGTACACATGTGGGCGTGAGAAGAAGTGACTGCCCTCAAGACCTTCTCACTTCAGTGTAAGGTCAGTTGTGCGCACTGGACGTTTCACAATCTTTAATTCTACCGCAATACCATCTACTGGTAAACTGCTGCCTATAATTAACTTTGCAATAACACAACACCAGATTTTACAAAACCAAATGTTTAGACAGCCAGGTTTTGCTGTGTGTTTTGCTTTGTTTACAGAAGTCATCCACAGATCACACGAAAAAAATGAAGAAAACGAAAAACCGGAAGTTACGTGGTCTAGGTCAAGGAGGAAATATGGACCAAAACAACAGACTCTTTTGAAATGGATATAAACATATAAGCACTTAAGAGATGCTACTGAAGTGTACGTGGAGGAAACTGCTTTATTCCAACTACTCTGGTGACAGTTAATCTGAAAATATGGCTGTCAGTGACCTCTCCTATCCCCATACCCTTGAGCCATTCTTCTTGTAGGGGCGCCCCTCCCCACCTGCCATGAGTCGGGGCAGGCCTAGGACCAGTTTAGGCTGGTAAAACATGGTAGAAGGGCTGCTGTGCAGGGCTGGGTCTGACCCTTCAAAGAGAAGTCTGGCACCTTCCTTGGAAGTCCGGCGCCATTTTGTAAAGGAGCCAGGACAACAATACCCAGTGATAAAGGCAACACCAAGGGCATCTAGAAGATGAGACACCGCATTGAGCACTACGTGCATTGAAAATTCAGAGCATCACCGTTCTGTCTTCCAAAACAGATGGACCAATTTCCATTTCCAACTATTGTGTGCGCAAGTGCCTGTCTTCCGCACCCTCGTCAATAATTAGCTCTGTCAATCTTTTACATTTGGGCCACCCTGATGGGCAAAAAATGGGTATTTAACTTCAGCTTGTGTTTCTTAAGGTTGATCCAATCTACGGAAGATGAGTTTCTTATTTGAATTTGCATTTTCCTGATCCATATGTTTATTAGTCATTCACATTTCTCTTACGTAAACTTTGTCCATTTTTCTGTTATATTTTTATCTTTTTCCATCTCATTCGTAGGTACTGTCACCCCTGTACCACGTCATTTTCTATTTTATGTTGCAAACGTTCCTCCCAATTTATAGTATATTTCAATTTTATCTTACAGAACTTTCATATTTTGTGGTTAAATTTGTTAGTTTTTTTTTTTTTTTTTTCCAAGTAGGCTCCACATCCAGCCTGAAGTCCAATGTAAGGCTTGAACCCACAACCCTGAGGTCAAGACCTAAGCTGAGGTCAAGAGTCAGTGCTTAACTAAGTCACTCAGATGCACCTAAGATTTTGTTTTTAAAGTAATCTCTACACTTTATGTGGGGCTCGAACCCACAACCCTGAGATCAATAGTTACACATTCCTCTGACTGAGCCAGCCAGGTGCCTCAAATTTGTTAGGTTTTTCTATTAAAACTTTTGTGTTCTGCATTTTGTTTTTAAAAGAGCTATTCTAGCACCCAATTTTAAATATATTACCTAATATTTCCTTATATTATGCCTATAGTTAAAAAAAATGTATTACCCCTGGGGCGCCTGGGTGGCTCAGTCAGTTAAGCATCTGACTCTTGGTTTTGGCTCAGGTTACGATATCATGGCTCGTGGTATCAAGCCCCGTGCTGGGCTCTGTGCTGACGTCATGGAGCCTGCTTGGGATTCTCTCTCTTATTCACTCTCTGCCCCTCCCATGCTTGCTTGTGCATGCATGCTCTCCCTCCCTCCCTCTCTCTCTCTCTTAAAATAAATAAACTTAGGGCAGCTGTGTGGTTCAGTCAGTTAAGCATCTGACTTTGGGTCAGGTCATGGTCAGGTCATGGTTCGTGGGTTTGAAACTTGTATGGGGCTCTGCACAGTGTGAAGTCTGCCTGGGATTCTCTCTCTCCCCCTCTGCTCCTCCTCCACTCTGTCTCTCTCTCAAAATAAATAAACTTTAAAAAACAAATAAACTTAAAAAAAAGTATTACCCTTAAATCAGCTTATTTTTGTAAATGGTGCAAAGTAAAGATCTAATTCATTTTTTCCTGACAGCTAAATTGACTTTATATCGCAAATGGTTCATCTTTTCTCTGATTCCAACTGTCATCTTTATAATATGTACCAAGTTCCCAATTATATATTTAAATTTTTTTCTATATTTTCTTTTCTGACTCATTGATCTATTTGTCTGTTCATATGCCAATATGACTCTGCCTTAATGAATATAGTTTTTTGGACCACTTGGAGCATTAACAATGCAGGACCCCCCCTCACTTGTCTTTTTCAAAATTTTCTTGGCAGATTTTTGTCATTTTATTTTCCAGATGAATTACAGGATTAGCTTGTTGCAGGAAAAATTTGGAATTTCTAATTGGAAACACACCAAAGTCATATATTACCTTGGGTAAAACTGACATTTTTACAGTTTTTTACTTGTCCAATTAAAAAACGTGCAGTATCTCTATGTTATTCAAGTATTTGTGTCCTACAGTAAAA